AGAATTTTGATGGGATTTTGATGGGGATTGCATTGAATCTATAGATTGCTTTTGGTAGAATTGCCATTTTTACTATGTTGATCCTCCCAATCCAAGAGCAAGGGAGATCCTTCCATTTTCTGGTGTCCTCTTCTATTTCTTTCTTCAAAGACTTAAAGTTCTTGTCAAATAGATCTTTCACTTCCTTGGTCAGGGTTACCCCAAGATATTTTATGCTCTTTGTGGCTATCGTGAAAGGTGATGCTTCTGTGATTTCCCTCTCTGTTTCCTTATCCTTAGTGTATAGGAAGGCAACTGATTTTTTGGAGTTGATCTTGTATCCAGCCACGCTACTAAAGGTGTTTATCAGCTGTAGGAGTTCTTTGGTAGAGTTTTTGGGGTCGCTTATGTATACTATCATATCATCTGCAAATAACGGAGAATCTATTCTTTAATGCTTTTCTGGTCATTGATACTAGGATTTAAGGTCTAAGCATGGGAAGTAAGGTTTTTGTTGTTGTTGTTTTTAAATATAGCCTATAGATGCCAGGTGGTGGTGGCATGTGCTTTTAATTCCAGCACGTGGAAGGCAGAGGCAGGGAGATCTCTGTGAGTTCAAGGCCAGCCTGCTGTACAAGAGCTAGTTCCAGCACAGGCCCCAAGCTACAGAGGACACCCACCCACACACACTATAGAATATTGAGTACTTATGAATTTAAAATAAAAAATGATTTATTTATTTTTATTTTATGTGTGTTGGTGTTTTGCCTGCATGTATGTCTGTATGGTATGAGAGTGTTGGATCCTCTGGAGTTACAGATAGTTGTGAGCTGCCATGTGGGTTTTAGGGTTCTCTGGAAGATCAGCTTGTCTATTAACCACTGAGTCATCTCTCCAGCCCTACTTATGGCTTTCATAGAATGTCCTTCACGAAACGGTCTACCGTCCTTTTAGATTCCCTAATCTTGCTTTATTTCCTGTTAAAAGGGAATAAGAAAGAGGGAAGTTGTTAGTTCCTTTTGGAGACTTTTATAAAATTAAAATAACACTAAAAAACCCACATGAAATATACTGCACAGTAATAAACCAATTAAATTTTTAGTTGTCGTTTTATGTAGTGATTTGGAACTAATGTGAAGGTGTTACCTCCATAATGTTAACAGTATGGAACTGTACTTTATCTTACTGAAAGCAAATATTAAAAATATTTTTATTAATGCAGAGAATTTTATTCTATGTATTTTAGTGATATTTGCCCCATCTCCTCCTCCCAATACCTCTCAAATATCTACCTCTACCTCCCTCACAACTTTGTGTTTTCTCTCTTCCTCTCTTTCTCTTTCTCTCTCTGTAATCAACCCATCAGTTTCACTTTGAACTACCCATATACTCATGAATTTAGGGCCATCTGATGGAATGTGATTGACCTACCAAGGGCCACACCCTAAAAGAAATTATTCTTTCTTCAGAAGCCATTTGTTGTCACTGGCTTAAAATGAAGTGAAAGATAAAGATATTTGATTCATGACACTCTTCGATTGGTTTTTTATTCATCTAAGTAGTGTCAGGAATCAGAGAATCTCGGTCTGCCTGCTACAGTGGCCTTTTACCACAAAACTGTGATTTATAGATATATTTAAATGATAAACTACAAGATTAAATACCCATTTTGTATATTATGAAAAGTACTTAAATTTCTGAAAGACCATACAAAGAAAGAAACTGTTAGTTCAAAAGTTTATGCCTTTCAAATATTAATTTCAGTATTTTTAAAATCATCCTGTTTGATAATAACTGGATCTCATTTAAGTGTTTCTTGTTGCTCTCATGTTTGGTAATTTTACCTGCATGTGTTGTGAATTACCTGCACAGATGGAGAAATGCCTCTCTTTAGTTCTTGGAATATTTGTATTCAGACATCAGTATCTTTTTCTCTTTCTTTCTTTCTTTCTTTCTTTCTTTCTTTCTTTCTTTCTTTCTTTCTTTCTTTCTTTCTTTCTTTCTTTCTTTCTATTTTTGCATAATCTTCCTTCCAGAATTGTCCTGGCTAGTTTTATGTTAGCTTGACACAGGCTAAGGTCATCTGAAAAGAGGAAACTTCAATTGAAAAAAAAAATGTCTCCATAAGATCCGGCTATAAGGCATTTTCTTATAGTAATTAATGGGGGAGGGCCCAGGTCATTGTGGGTAGTGACATCCCTGGGCTCATGGTCCTGGATTTGGTAATAAAACAGGTTGAGCAAGCCATGAGGAGCAAGCCAGTAATCTGCACTCCTCCATGGTCTCTGCATCAGCTCCTGCCTTCAGGTCTCTTCCCTGTTTGAGTTCCTGTCCTGACTTTCTTCAGTGATGACTGGTGCTATGGAAGTGTGAGCCGAACAAATCCTTTCCTCCCCCAGTTGCTTTGATCATGGTGTTTCATCACAGCAACGGTAACCCTAAGACTAGAACTTCCAGTTATTCTTATTTTAGTGTTTTCAGTGCTGCTGTTGTGGGGAGCTCTTGAGAAGTAGAATGACTGTATCTAATGCTGAATTAGCTAGCCAAAATTTTCATAGTAATTAATCTGTCAATAATGGGAGGAACATATTCTTCTATTTGACAGATTCAGGGAACTGAAAGTCAAACTTTTTTAAATGATTCTTTTTGAACAAAGAACCATAGAAGCAGATGGATAAGGTGAATTTAACTTTGAACATGGTCAGTATAAAGGATGGAACTTTGCGAGAAACTTCAACTGATTTGGAGATACAGTTGGACCTGTCTGTTACCAGTGCCTCTTTCCCCACAAGCTCACCATGGTTCCTCTGCTTCCTTCTGTCTCTCAAATTCTTCAAACGTGGTAGACTAGCAGCCTTCAGTCTTTGACACAAGTCCCATTTCCTGCCTAGTGGGTACTGGTAGGTGTTAGACCCTTGGCTTTGCAAGTCACGTCTATCCAGAGAGATATTCTGTTTTTCCCTTTTCAAAGTAAAATTTGCCATCATAGTCTGTGAACCATATGGTTGTGTGGCTCATGCAGAGGTGGCATGTGCAGGGCATGTGTGTTCAGTGGGTGTCAGAGTCACTAGCAGGAATGTTTGTTTAAGCCACAGGCACATTGCAGTGCCTGCAGTTCCTGTGGTGTGTGCAGGGTGAGCCACACTCCCTCGGTGAGCGCCAGCCTTGGAAAGAAACTGCCATGGCCACCAAGCATGCTGGGTGGGAAGGGAGCGAAGCAGCGACCTAAGAGTGCCACCCCCCTGGAGGAGATCCATACTTCTCACTTCAGTCTACACTCACTGCCACTGCCGTACAGTTAGTTATCTGCAGTCACTGTTGAATGTCTACTCGGTGGCACTTAGTGGTCCTCAGTAAAATATCTGTTGATTTTAAATGGAGAAGTAATTAAGTGGACAGAACAACTTAATTTGCGTAGGATTTCTTATTTTCTGTGACAGATGCTTGGTGTATTTTCATGGGAAGGAAGAACATTATCACTTTTGCAAATGCCATCAATCTTTAATAATCAAAATTCACTTGGCAAGAAAAGTGGTGTAGCCATACCAAATTGTGGTTATTGTTACATTGCATTATTTACGGTAAACCTGGCTCAATATTGGTAAATATACTGCAGTGGAAGCTGAACTGTTGTGAGATATCTGGGCATCTGTCCAAGATATCATTAAAATACTGCGTCAGATTCATTGAGTTTGTGAATAACATCTTAACAGCTCAACTGAAATTGAACCGCATGGTACAGTTTAAAAATTCTGAACCCACAAGATAAGGAAAGCAGTATAAATGTATATGACACTGTACATTATGTATTCGAGTAATAAATTTATATATAATTTTGTTTTAACCTTTAAACTGTAAGTCTCCAAATGACTAACATATTAACTTTGAAGTTTGCATATACTGAAATTATCTGTGAATTTGAATTCCTTATACACTAGAATATTAATTGGTCTAATAATCAAGTCTAAAGATTAAGTAGAAGGCAGAAACTTTTAAACAAGTGTTAACATTGATACCAAACACGTTTTGAGCTGGGTGTATACATAAGTGGGTTAACAATATTGGCCACCAAAAAGGTCAAAGGTAATAAAATTCAATCAGTTAATTCATTTATTTTACTAATGAAAGAAAATGGGATTTACCTTAAAATGGGATATAGGAATTATTAATTTTTGGTTTTAAACTATTGATTATATTAAGTATAACAAAGAGAATGTTTGAATAAGTGAGATGATGTAAGAAAAAATATAGTTATTTTTTCTCTAAAACCTAACACATTAGTATAATTAATTTCTTCCTGAATATAGACACATTCTCATTGAAAGGGTGTGGCCAAAGGTTTATTTTCTGTCACTATTAGTGTATAAATGTCTTTGATGTAGAATGATTGGTTAAACACATTAAAGTCCTCCTCTCAGTGAATGTCTCGTCTGTTTTCCAGGTTAGCGCTCTACGTATATGAATATCTGCTCCATGTAGGAGCTCAGAAATCGGCCCAAACATTTCTATCAGAGGTATGTTTTATATGTTTTCTGCATTACATTTGCTATGTAAATGAATGAGAAATATAGAGAATGATGAAGTGCTCAGGTAGCATTTTATATAATATAATCTTTGTAGATTGTTATGTGTTTTTAGTATCTCAAGACACCTTTTCTGTGGAACTCAGTAACAGTCTAGTAAACTTTCTAGGTATTTATTCTCGTAGAAAGTTATCTCAATATGGCAATAATAACCAAGAATGCAACTTTGCTGTAGAAGCTTCCACTAGGCCTGAGGAGACGGTTCAGTCTCAAGCATATACACACAGCAAAGTCTGACTGTGGTGGTGTGCATTTCTGTCCCAGTGGTGAACCAGCCAGCCCAGCCTGCTCATCAGAGAGACTTTGTCTTGAGAAGATGTAGTTGAGGGCCAGTGGGCTGGCCCTTTGGGTAAAAGTTCTTGTCAGCATGCCTGATAATCTGAATTTGGTCCCCAGCATGACGTTACAGAAGAAGAGAACAGACTTCCGAGTTGTTCACTGAGTGATGCACAAGTGCCAGGTGCTCATAAGTGCTACTAGTGCACCTGTGCATGCTTGCACACAGACACGTGTGTACAAACCTTACACTTCCTTCTGGGGCCTGTTTCCAACAGTATCTTATGCTAGCATTTGTTTGCAAGTTTTTATTTATTCATTCATTATGTATACAGTGTTCTGCCTGCAGACCAGAAGAGGGCATCAGATCTCATTATAGATGGTTGTGAGCCACCATGTTGTGGCTGGGAATTGAACTCAGGACCTCTGGAAGAGCAGCCAGTGCTCTTAACCTCTGAGCCATCTCTCCAGCCCCTGTTTACAAGTTTTGATAATGTGAATTTGTCGTTTTTTATTTTACATAAATAAGAGTTGGGTGTTTCAAAATATTTTTGAAAATATTTTAAAAACTCTTGATATTCTCTCTCTCCTCTGTCACCATTCTGGTTTGATTTTCTTGTTGGAAACACGCTGACCTCAAACTTGCCATCACACCTGCCTCAGCCTCCTGAGTGCTGGAATTACAGGCAAGTGTCTGCTCCTCTTTTGCTTTTTCCAGCTCTGAATCTGAGCTAACTTTCTTTCTTTCTTTCTTTCTTTCTTTCTTTCTTTCTTTCTTTCTTTCTTTCTTTCTTTCTTTCTTCCTTTCTTCCTTTCTTCCTTTCTTCCTTTCTTTCTTATTTTCGAGACAGGGTTTCTCTGTAGCTTTTGGTTCCTGTCCTGGAACTAGCTCTTGTAGAGCAGGCTGGCCTCGAACTCACAGAGATCCGCCTGCCTCTGCCTCCCAAGTGCTGGGATTAAAGGCGTGTGCCACCACCACCTGGCCCTGAATCTGAGCTTTCTTATACAACTCTATTTTTCTTCTCTAATCTGCATTATGGTAAGGAGAATGAGAAGGCTGAATTCTGTTATGTAGTAGGCACATCAAGCACCAAATTATTTCAAAATCTTTTAAGAAATTTGCATGACACATATTACTGCTGTTGTATTAATCAGAACAGGATCAAGTTAATGAGTTATGGAATTAAAATTCAAGTTGTCCATGGTCAATGGTCTACACATGTGTGCAGGAAACCCCTTCTGGTCTTGCTTCACATGAGGAATAGCTTACTTTTGATTCCTTTGCTCTCAAACAAGTGTATACATTAACACACAGATCAGACATTCAAACATATGACCCCTTGGAGGCCATTCTGATTAAAACCACAACAAATATCAAATAAGGAAATTGAAGGAAACATTTTCCATGTTCTAGGATTGTCAGTATCAGTATAATAAAAAATGGCCATATTACTAAGAATGATTTACAGAAACAATTTAGTCTCCATCAAAATACAACAAAATTCTTCACAGAAATATGAAAAAATGCTAAAAGTCACATGAGCGTGTAAAACTCCAGGTTAGAGTCTTGAGAAAAAAGATCAGTGCTAGTGATAGTAACGTGCCCAATTTCAAGTTATGTTACAGGTTTGTGATAACAAAACAGCACAGTGTTGGCATCAAAGCAGACATGCAGATCCATGCAATGGAGGACCCAGAAATTAAACCCCTAAAGTTACATGGTTTACAGCCATGTAAAAAAAAAACATGCATTGAAGAGCAGACATTTTCCAAAAATGGTGCTGTAAATGTGATCCATATGAAGGGAAATGAAACTAAATTCCTCCTACTCTATGCAAAAATCAGTTTCAGATGTATCAAAGACCTTACTATGAGACTGGAAACACCGTTGCCTGGGAATTATCAGGAAAACAATTCAGTCATAACATAGATAATGATTTTCTGTAAAACTACAACCCAGGAAATAAAACCTAAGAACTGTCTAATGGGATTGCATGAAATGAGAGAGCTGCTGTATAACAAACGTTCAAGTGAGAAGACACCCTCCAAACAGAAGAGATCTTTCCTAGCTAGACATCTCCCAAAGGATTAACATCGAGAGCATATCAACTCAAAAATACTCAACTCCAAAAGGTTCCCAAACACCCCTATCAATAAATGAGCTAGTGAGATGAGTATCTCAGAAGATGAAGCACAGATGACTAATAATCAGAAAAACTGTCTCATGCTTAGCAATCAGGGGAATGCATGTTAGAACTATCTGGAAACATCATCTCACCCTGTAGCAGCTAAAGACAAAGTCTAGTGAGGATATGGGTTAAAAGGAACTATGGAAATTTCCAGTCACTATGGAAATACTATGGAAGTTTTTCACAGAACTAAATACATGCATGGCACATTGCATATTTCCTCTGGTTCTGTACCTATAGGACTCTAAGTCAGTGTATCACAGATACACTCTATCCATGTTATTTGTTTGTATTGTAGGTGTCTACAAATAAAAGGGTAAATAAAATAGGGTAATATGCACAGTGAAGTGTTATTCAGCCAGAAAAAATATAATTTTGCTATTTTCTAGAAAAATGGGTAAACTTGAGATAATCATATTGAGTAAAATAAACCAATTCGAGAAAGGTATTGCTGTTTTCTTTCATTTGAAGATCCTAGACTTAGTAGTATAGGTTATATAAAAGTGTACACACACACACACACACACACACACACACACACACACACCATGGGAGCAGAACAGAGACTGGGTAAGGAAGAAGACTGGTAGATGGGTGGAGTGGAGGACATGATCAGAGCACATGATAGCACAGCCTAAGTGCTTGTGCATCATCAGAGAAGTGGGGAGGGAGTGTCAGAGGGGTTCTCCCTAGTTGTAGAATCTTTACATATAAAAACATTATGTTTATATATTTATACTTGTTTAAAAATATAGAAAATACGTAATCTTAAGTGTTCTGAATTTACACATAGAAACTTCTGGTGTCTTTGTAATATCACTTTGCTGAGCACATGCTAGAGTTTTGATAATTGCAGTTGGTTATATTTCAGTGCCTAACTTTTTATTCCCTCACATTGTAAGTGTCTGCAATATCTAATTGCTTGTGTTTTCTGTATGTACCACAAGGCTCTGCCTTCTGGGCAATGTTGTGTTACTGTGCCTAAACCCTTCTCCTCGTATGTACTCATATGACTTGGGTGACCATTTACTAAGAAGGCTTTCTCAGGGTTCTCTGTCTTTAAGATGTCAGTGCAGCCTGCAGGGGCCTATACAGGAAGACCATTGCATACTTCAATAGGAAATTTTACACTACCTTCTTGATGATAGAGCCTATGAAAGTTTACAGTAAAAGAACAGCATCGTTAAGTCTATTCTAAGATATCCATGCTACCCTGCGCCCTGACTGTAGACAGCACAGAGGGGAGAGAAAAGCATGAATGTGGTGTTTAGAGCTCTCCACCTACACACGCAGAGCTAGAGGGCGCTCTTTATAGAATGACTTCTTTTTTTTTAAGCTTCTTTTTTTAATGGATTTAATTGAGCTCTACATTTTTCTCTGCTTCCCTCCCTGCCTCTCCTCTCCCCTCTTTAACCCTCCCCCAAGGTCCCCATGCTCCCTATTTACTCAGGAGATCTTGTCTTTTTCTACTTCTCATGTAGATTAGATCTATGTATGTCTCTTTTAGGGCCCTCAGTGTTATCTGGGTTCTCTGGGATTTTGAATTGTAGGCTGTAGGCATTTTTTTTTCTGCTTTATCTCTAAAAGCCACTTATGAGTGAGATAAGTGATTATGTATGATATTTGTCTATCTGGGTCTGGGTTACTGCACTCAAAATGATGTTTTCTAGCTTCATCCAATTGCCTGCAAATTTTAAGCTGTTGTTATTTTTTCTGCTGTGTAGTACTCCATTGTGTAAATGTACCACATTTTTCTATCCATTCTTCGGTCGAGGGGCACTTCTGGAGGCATCACAATCCCTGACTTCAAACTCTACTCAAGAGCTACAGTACTGAAAGCAGTCTGGTATTGGGATAAGAACAGACAGGAGGAACAATAGAACTGAATTGAAGACTTAGATATTAATCCACATACTTTCAAATACCCGATTTTGAAGCAAAAAATATAAAATGGAAAAAAGGAAGACATATTCCGCAAAAGGTGCTGGCATAACTGGATATCAACATGTAGTTGAATGAAAATAGACCCATATCTATCACCATGCACAAAACTCAAGTCCAAATGAATCAAAGACCTCAACATAAAGCCAGCCACACTGAACCTTATAGAAGAGAAAGTGGGAAGTACACTTGAACGCATTGGCACAGGAAACTACTTCCTAAATATAACCCCAGTAGCACAGACACTGAGAAACAATTAATAAGTGGGACCTTCTGAAACTGAAAAGCTTCTGTAAAGCAAAGGACATGGTCAACAAGACAAAAAGACAGACTACAGAATGGAAAAAGATCTTCACTAACCCCACATCAGACAGAAGGATGATCTCCAGATTATACAAAGAACACAAGAAATTGGTCATCAAAAGAACAAATAATCCAATAAAAAAAATGGAGTACAGGCCTAAACAGAGAACTCTCAACAGAGCAATCTAAAATGGCTGAAAGACACTTAAGGAAATGTTCAAC